TGTTTGGGCCAGAAAAACAGGCCTATGTCCTGCCAATTCCACCCCAGTTTGGGACACCCCCTCCCCGCGCCCCAGGGAGGTAAGGGGCACAGACATGGAGTCAGGGAGCACCATGCAAAGCACCATTTCCTGGTGGGAAGTCTGTTCTTTGCTCAGGGCCAGGGGCTCTGCACAAACTCTAGTGGAACCCCTGGGGGATCAAAGGTCTCTACATCAGCTGGGAACATGGTCAGATCTTCTGCCAGACTCCAACCACAGCACACCCAGATGCTGAGATCCAAGCATGCTAGAGTGAAAGGTACGGCAGGACTCACCTGGTCCAATCCTCCATTTCTAGATGTGGCAATGCGGGCCTAGACAGGCACCTCCAAGTTGGTCAGGTTCTCCCAAGGCAAACAATAGCCAAGTATCTGAGCAACACTGGATGCCTGGCACAGGGTAAGCCCTTCCACCTGTCACCACCCCTGATATGAACAGTAAGCTAGCCATTACTATGACCCCTGCTTTACACGCAAAGAACCTACAGCCGAGACAGCTTATGTCACTTGTCTGAGGTCACACTGCAATGAAGACTAGAGCTAGGACTCTAGTCCAGACCATTTTATCCCACTGCCTCAGGCTTCTTCACACCCCACTATGTCAGGATTGTAAGCAGGATCCCTCTCTTCCCACGCTAGGAGGGCATTCCCATCCCAGGTTCCTTCATCTAGAATGTGGTCTTGACCGTCGGCACCCCCACTCAGCTCTTCCACAAAGAAGCCTTTAGACTCATCATCTGCATCGGGTTCTGCCTCCCCTTGGACCTGTGGTTCTCTCTTTTGTCACTTAGTTCTGTACCCTCTCCTTCCCCAAGGCCCTACGCCAAATCAGGATGGTTGTTCCTTCTTCTTCAGCTGAGCTCAAATGTCAACTGTTGAGAGAGACACCCATCATTTTGTGTCAATTATTGCCCTCTCTTTGCTTGCTTTACACTGTAATCCTAAGTCTGTGTGTTTATTTATGTATTGTCTCCTCCCCTGTGTTTCTGGCAGGGAAAGCTCCTGGCATGGATAGACACTGCATTCGAAGTTGTAGAATAAATGAGTGAATGAATGAATGAATGAACTAGAAAACAAAAGAATACCTCAGTTCTTCTTCAAATAAATGTCTGCCAAAAAGTTTACACTTGCCCTAGTGATTTTGTTAAAACTACATAATCCAAAACTTTACTTTGATCCAAGACCCTGATAATTAAGAGTTCATCTTCCCAGGTCTTTTTCCTATGTATTACAGATATATGTATATGTGGTATTTCTATGGGATCCCACTTTGATTTAACTATTTTATATGATATGTATATTCTATATGGTCTCTATATTATATGATACATATGTCCACAAATGTACCTTACCCCCCAAAAAAATACTGATTATATTTTTCTGCGATTTTCTGATTTAACCACATGCCATGAAAGTCTTTCCCTGCTACCACATGTAGGTCTGTCTCACGTTGTTAACAATTACATACTATTTTTCAAAAATAAAAATAAAAGTACTCACTCTTGGTGAGATATTCAAATAGTCTAGGGATGGCAAGCAGAAACCATTGGATCACAAGCGCCTCTTCCCACCATTGCCACACCTCATAGGCCAGAAGGATTTTGTGCCCAGATGAAGGTGAGTCGGGGGGTATTCCTGAATGGGCAGGGGGGCACAGGAGTGGGGTGGCACAGGACAGGCTCAGGCAGAAGCAAGAAAAATGGGATGCAGCTGGATGGGATAGAGAGGAAGGCAACTGGGAGGAAAAGCCGGGGAGACTAAGGCTGGGTTAGTCAAGGAGAGCAATGAGAGGGTCAGAAAATGGGGACAAGAGCTAGAAAGCACCCCCGTCAGGGACTGGAAGTCAGGAGACAAGGGGGCTCTTGGAGCCGAAGAGAAGCATAAGGGGGCAGCCCATTCGCCCATTGAAGAAGATGGAAAATCTGTCTCCCAATGGTTTTCCCACCTGGTTTTCCAACACCCAGGAGCATTTGCCTGTTTCCGAGTGAGACGTGTTTATCTCCCTTCTGGAGTCTCAAAGTTCAAAACAAACTTCCAAACAAAGGGACCCTCCGCTCTGTGGTTTTCAGCTTCATTCTCTTGCAAGGACAGAGCCAAGATTCTGCTTTCCTGATGACTTTCACAGCCAATTCCACCGAACATCCCACCCCCAGCTTCCTTCTGCGTCTTTCCTGGCTGCCTCCAATTGTTGTGGACATCCTCATGGGTATAGTTTTTTTAGCTCCTTTTAACTCTTTTCTTCCTATCTTTATAATTATGCAGGGAAAACAAAATTATTTTCCCAAAAGATGTAATTTGGGGCTTTTAGAGTGGACCAAAATTCTCTCCCAAGAGCTGAACTCATCAGCATCAAGTTGTAGATATTATTACAAAGAACCTTAGATGAGAAGAAGCTATCTGTTAAGCTAGCTGCAGTTGGAAAATTCTGAGACATATTTTTATGGCCATCACCCTACAGAAAAACCCACCAGATTTACATAAATAGAAAATGACAAGACTGTCTCTGAGGGTAGGTGTAAGTGAGGGATGATATTAACAATCTGCACATATCATCTTCTTCTGCTAAGCCTTACACTGTGTATTTTAATACACACAATAATCCATGAGGCAGGTACCATATTATACCCATTCTACAGATGAAGAATTTGAGGCTCATAGAGTATCTCACCCAAGGTCACGCAGACACTAACTGATGGAGCTGAGACTAAAAACCAGCCAGGCTGCAAATAGCTTCTGGGATCTTAACCAAGTCACCACTGGGTTTCCCTAACTCATGTTTTGCTAACTCAATTCTTGTCTACCACTCCTTCCCCAAGTAGGAGTTACACTCCAGGAGAGCAGGTCCTTGTCTGTCCTGTTATATCCCCAGCTGCCAGCACAGGGCCTAGCCCAAAGTAGACCCTCATAAATGATTACTGAGTGAATGAATTAATGAATGAATATTATGTTTTTATTGAACTATGTCTTGTAATCTGAAAAATTCTGAACACTGAGGTTTTGGGTGAGCTTAAATATGTTCATCCAACTGTCCTATTTCTTTTACCCATTTAACTTACTTGAGCTTTCTCCCAGAAAAAGAAATATCTTTCTCCAAGCATTAGAACCTAGCAAGTTACATGAAATGTAGGAATTGAGTAAGGAATCCCAATCTGAAAATGTAAAGAGAAAATGTAAATTTAAAGCGATCTTTTGTTAATCACTTACAAAGCTGTTCTAGGCCCCTGCCTTTTTCAAAGTGGTCTCTGAATCACCTGGGATACTTATTTAAAGGCAGAGCAAGGGCTCCTGGGTGGCTCAGTCGGTTAAGCATCTTCCTTCTGTTCAGGTCATGATCCCAGGGTCCTGGAATCGAGCCCCACATAGGGCTTCCTGCTCGGCGGGGAGTCTGCTTCTCCCTTTCTCTCTGCTGCTGCTCCCCCTGCTCATGTGTGCTCTCTCTCTCTCACTCTCTGTCAAATAAATAAATAAAATGTTTAAGAAAAAAAAAATGCAGAGCAAGAAAACCAAGAGCCTGGGAATCTGCCTTCTGCAGTCATCTCCCTTGAAACAGAAACAAAACTTGGACGCCCGCTGTGAGGAGGTGAAGGTTATTCCTGATCCATTGGGAAAAAAAAAAAAAAAAAAAAAAAAACCCTAACAAGCTATCAAAATGTGTTTCAGAACCAGTGACCCTTCCCTGTATCAAAGGATTCCTGAAGCCTGTCACATTTAGGGGCCATGAGCCATAGCTATTTTTTGAACCCTGTATAAGGCAGAAACATTGTATTTACCTATAAGATATTCTTTCCCCGTTTTTAAGAAGGTGGTTACCTGCCATTGCCCTACCATATCACCTGTGCACTGAGTCACTCTCATATCTGCCATGACACACAGTGTGTCCAAAGGCAGGCAGCTGGGCGTCTGTGACCAACTGTTTCCCTGTCCATACGTCGAGGGTGGGAGCGTTCACAACATTTTGATTCTATGCATGCTCGAACCAGAGTCATTCTAAGGACAGGGATCATGGAATCTCTCGGTCTTGGTTTGCTATACTCAGAAGTCATGCTTCTGTGACCGTGAATTAGCTTCAGAAGGTGAGAGGATAAGTAGTCAGGAGCCCCACCCCACTGAATTCATCATGACCAAAAGATCAGAGTATAGGTTTCTGTAATACACACCTATGAGAACTAACTACAAAAATAATAATAATAATACTTTGGATAAGAGTCTGTCAGCTGGACGAAAACTGGATGAACCAGTGAGGGTGAGTCATGAGGCCATACACCAGCCTTTGCCTCAGTTGGGGAAATAGCTCAAGGTGGGGATTCCCAGACTTTCTACTCTGAGGGCTACACGATATTAGATCCACAGAAGACCTGGGGCATTCTATCAGCAATTTTTTATTGATACCTACTGTGTGCAAGGCACTGTTCTAGGTATGGGGGACCCTGTGGTGAACCCTACTGGCGAAACCCATACTTTCACTGAACCAACATTCTAACTGGTTAGGGAAATGAGAAACAATTGTCCCCAGTGAAGCAATGATAAGGGGTATAAAAAGGGAGGTAAGGATTCAAATGAGGACGGTAGAGGAACCCCTAACGTCTCACCCACTCGGTCCAGCAGCCACCTTAGACACATGAGGAAAATGAGGCAGAGACAGCAGTGATCTGCTCAAGACCAGAGTACAAGGGCCCTGGTCAGAAGTGGAGTTGGAAGTGAGAACTGGCTTCCTGCAAAGCCCATCCTTCCCTCACAGGCCCTCCCGCTGACGGCTTTATCTTCCTAAAACTGTTTAGCCCATAGACCCCAGCACCGAGGGAGGGGAAAGCAGCGCTACAGCACCCCCTGGCCGGCCCCTGGGCACAAGGGACCTCGCCGTCCCGCCATCACACCCCAGGACCCCAGGAGAAGCCCGGCGGGGCGGGGCCTGGCCACGCGCCGGCGCGTCCAGCAGGTGGCGGCAGCGAGCGGCCGCGCCCCCCGCGCTGCCACCCCGCGAGCCCGCATCATGGATGTCGAGCTCTCCTATTTCGCTTTGCTCGCCTTGGAATTCGAGACTCCAGACGAGGACCAGGATTCATGAGCCGGTCGCAGGGGCCCAGGCAGGGGCCTCTGGCTCCCGACGCCGGCCGAGAGGTGGGTCCCGGGGGCGGTGGCTGCTCCCGAGGCCGGGCGGGGACGCGCTGCCCCCGCCCTGCCTCCCCGTGGTCCACACCCCCTTTGGGCTCCGGAGCCGCGGGGCTGGAGTAGTCGGGGGTGCGCGCGGGCCGGCGCTGCCAGCCCCGCTTCTGCCGGGCACCGGGGTCCGAGGGGCCGCGGGACCCGGCGCGCGTGTCCTCCCGCCGCCGCCTCCTCCTCCCTGCTCTCACCTGCGCCTGTTAGTCCACTTGCCTTCAAGGCCGGTGGCTGCAGCCTAGACTGCCGAGGGGACGGCAGAGGGAGAGAGAGCACCTGAGGATACAGAGCTGGCACTGGACTGCCTTTTCGCCCCCCAGGTGATGAGTGAGGTCGGAAGATCGCAAGATTTAAAAAGCAACCGGGTCCTCCGTATCGAATGAAAGACCCAGTGCAAAGGCATCACCATGAACACGAGCAGTAAGTGGGTCCTCCTCTCCTTTGCCATGGGAACAGGGTGGGGGCGGGAGGTGCAGGAGCCTGCGCTGGGGCCGCCTGGAAGGAGGAAGGAAGCCTGGCATCGGGGTGGACACATGGCCCCCAGACTCCTTCTTGGTCCTTTCTGTGCTCCCCAGAAGAGGGATGGGGGTCCGGCTTTTCATGACAATTTTGCTCATGTTTTATTGGCAGCAACACTTGCCTCTGCGGGGAAGGCTGCTTGTCTCCTTCTAGCAATGCCTGGGAAGGCCTAGGAAGCACTAACGAACGTGGCCATTGTCTGACTGTGGGGGCTCTGAGGAGACCTCCCCGCACACAGCTGGAAAGCCGTGGACAGCCTGGCTTGTCCTGAAGCTGGGAAGAGGAGGCAGGCCAGCCCGGGGCTGGTGGTGGGTGGATGTGGGCAGGCAGTGGGCTGGAAGCGAGCAGTTTGATAAACAAATCATCAGGAAGCCACCTTTGGGTCTAGAGATTGTGAAATATCCTGATCTCGTGCCCGCAGCCCCATGGGCCTGGGGCTGATTTCTCCACACACCTACAGGCTGTGTAGCCATCCTGAGAAGAGAGGAGAGGACAAGCCCTTTGGCCAAGATCGCTAACAGGCCAGAGGCAGCAACTGCTCTGCAGAGACAGGACCAGACATTTTGCTGCTAGGCTGGGCCTCAGCTGCTGAGAAATGCAGGCAAAAATACAAGGAGGACCCGTTCGTTTCTCTTCGGTGTAGTCCCTTGGACCATGGGCACCCACTGTGACCACCACCCTGGAGAGGAGGTCTGGGTTCAAGTCTCCCCCCCCCCCCCACCGCCCCCCTCTCCCGGCCTCCTCGTCAGCTCAGCTTGTCTGGGTCCTTTCAGTAGCAGGTGAGATTGTTGAAGCAGAGAACCCTAGGAACATTCGGTTCCCTGGGTCTGCGACTCTCCCATCACTCTCCTCTCTGGATCCCAGATTGCTGATCTGTAAAATGAGAACGGCTGGATCTAAATCTGTAAGTTTCTTCTTAAAAAGCTGGAGCTGAAAAACAAGGCCAGAAAAATCAGCCCCTTCTGAGGCTGTGTCCAGACCAAAGCCACTGTTTCTCCAGCCTCCCTCCATGTCAAGGCTGTTGGCATGGAGGAGAAGAAAACAAAGCAAAAGCCAGGGAGATGGAAGTGAAATATATTTATTTACTATGTATTTGTATGACTCATCTCTCTGCTGTCTTCCTTTGTGTATTGCATAGCTCTGCTGAGCAAGGACGGCTGAACTCCCCCTGCCTCTTCCAGCCAGAGAATTTTGCCTCCTGGTTTTGACAGTCAGGAACGGTGCTTTGGCTTCATACCAGGCTCCAGAAAAAAAGCCAAATTCCATAGACCTGGTCACCCAAGTGGGCGACATGTTTGCCTCTGGGTGTTTTCAGAGAAGTAAAGATGTGAGCTGTCATTGTGTCTCCCTGTCGCCAGGGGAAAGACGTATTTATGGGAGTCCTTTCTCATCAAATGATAGGAGAGAAAGATGGCTCATCTATTTTTCAAGAAACTTAGAATTAAGTTCCCAAGCCGCTGGCCCCCTGCCCTTTTCTCTTGTCCCATTAGCAACATTGAATATTCCTGAAAAAAGGAAACAGCTTTTACTTTTTTTTTTTTAAGAAATAACAACCAATAGAGTTGAATGCTGAGGACTAACAAAAATGTGATACCAGCTTCATATACTTTTTCTAAATAGGGAAAGTATGTTTATTTTCCAGGAGTAGTGGAAAATAAACAGAGTAGAATGACTTGGGCAGCCGCTGAGGGCCCTGTAAGAAGTGCTTCTCTCTAAAAAAAAAAAAAAAAAAAAAAAAAAAAAAAATTAAAAAAAAAAAGTGCTTCTCTAAAGGCTACACCAGGGAACACTTTGGCCACTCCAGCACGGGGGAGGGGCTCCATCATCCCTGTGGCCACTCCCAGCCCTGAGAGTCTGCAAGTAGAGAAGAGAAATCCGACCTCACATGAGTGAAGCCATGACAAGGTCATAAGGTTACAGGGACTGGGCGTTGGCAGAGGCCCTTGAGGTGACCCAATGTCAGCAAAAATGCTCTCCCCTTTGGAATGTAAAATTCTTACTTAACCCTTGTGCCTGAAACTGAACCTAAGAGATAGTCTTACCCAGTTTTTCTCTCCCTTCCATGTTTGGGTCCTCAGCCTCTACCGGTCCATGTGCCCAGCATCGCCCCAACTGCTACCCTGACCCTGGGAGATGGCATGACTGCTCCAGTTTCATGGGGGACACCTTGTAACTAATAACATTCACTAACGTCTTCAAGCCATGCGGTTAGCTTTGGGGGTTATGAGAGGTGTTTGGACGCGTTGTGTTTTGACCGCGTGCAGCAGCATTCCTGATCGCTGGTTCGGATGGCCCCACTGAAGTGAGGGCAAAGTGGGATGAGGACGAAGGGCCAGTCATTTCATCTAGGCAAGAGGAGTTCCAGGCCGAGGGCTTGGGGCAGCGCGTGAGAACTGACAGAGCTCAGGCTCTGGGCTCAGCTGGTCCCAGGTTCTGGTCCTTGTGTTTCGCGTCTTAGCTGTGTGGTCTTCCCCGTGGTTGTCTCGCCTGCAAAGTGGAGATGATAGGACATACCTCGTGTGGGATGGAGGGAAATATTAACACGGCATTAACACAGCCAGAGTGTGGGGCCTGAGCCATCGCTGGCCTCGTATCAGCGATGGCGGTCAGGCCATTCTTGTCACCACTGTGGTCATTGTGGTGGTTGTCGTGGGCTCCATGTCGTCAGCCAGCAGGTCCCTCAGCCTCTCTGATGTCACACCGCGGTTATGAATCGAGGCTACCAGAAGGTTTTTGAGGATTAAGTGGGATCAGGAGAAAATGCTTTGTACGCGTATGTGAATTGTTTTTATTCATAAATGAGACACGCGTGGCTCAGATGGTAACACCGGGGGACATTAGGGCTCTGTTAGCAATCTCTCAGTGCACTTCTAGTGTCTTCTGAATCCTTTCCTCCAAAATCTAGCTGAGCTTCCATACACCGCAGAGCAGGAATTTGAGAGGAAGAGGTAATTCCGGGGAGGATGGAGTCGGGTGGTGGTACCGACGTGGTGGACTGCCCTCCCAGCCCTGCAGCCAAGGGGGGGGGGGGGTCCCCCTGAGGTATGCTGTGGCTTTCAGAGGCCCAGAGCTGAACAGCAGCCCATCCTCCAGGTTGGGGGTCATCATGAGCACCATACACAATTAGGCCAAGAACCATCCTCCTTTAGCTCATTGGCAGTTCCCGTCCTCTGATCCTTTCCTTGGTCTCTGTCATGGAAAGGTTACAGTTTTGGAACGGACTGTTTTGCTAAAAAGAGCATCAAAGATTCCTAGCGCCCATGTCATGAGATAAGCAGACATCATCCTGGGGCTATAAGAACCAGCGCTCGGGGGTATGGATTCTATACTTCAAATGCAGGATCTGTGGTAGACTCTGTGATCTCAGACCAGACAGCTTACGTCGTTGAACCTAAACTTTATCATGTATAGGAGGCGAACAGTAATGCCAAAGGGCAGGGTTGTAGTGAGGTTGAGAGAAATAACGGGAGAGGCTCGCTGGCCTCGGGTCCTGGGGGATGGAGTCGAATCTGAAGTTGAATTGGCCACGGAGCAAAGTTCTGGAATGACAGGAACGGAAGAACTGAACCCTCTGGTGGAAAATGAGCATGTTTTGCTGCTGTGGTGGCTAGCACTAGGTCCTGTTCATAGGAAAACCATAGCTTCCTGAAGGAAACCTCTGGGAAGATTATTAACCTGGTGTTGTATAGGGCATGGGTTGAAAAGTGCAAGACAGGAAGTTAGGATCCTAGCTGAGAGGCAATCACCCTAGTTCAGAAAAGGTCTGAGGGCCAGGATTTTGGTGGTGGTAAGAATAAAAGTCAGGGGAAAGAGCTTTTAGAAAATAAAATCTGCATGGCCTCACAGCTGTTGGATTATAGAGGAAATTATAATATAATTAAAGAGGAGGAAAGGAGTCTATCAGTTAGGGTCCTGGAAGGGAACACATAGGCAGTTTGAAGGTTAAATAGAAGTTAAAGTTAAATAGAGTTAAATAGAAAGAGTCTATGCGAGTGTGTGAGAAGGATGTAGAGAAACAAACAAGAAGCCAGGATGGCCCAGTACTAGAAGGCTGGTAACTGCCTGACTGCCCTCTCCTCCCTTCCTCCATCTCCTACTATGCTCCCCATTGGCCCAATCCAACCAGGGGCCAGAGGGCAAGGAAAGCAGTTGATGGGCCCATAATATTCAGCCTTGAAGGGCACAGTGCAGAGTACAGAAGGCAGCACAGTGGGTGGGGAGACGCATGGGAGCTCAGAATTGAAGATGTCCAGCGTAAGGAGCGAGATGACGGTCCTCTGCCAGGTCAGGAACTCCCGGAGTTCTTTACAAGAAGGATCCACTACAAACACTAACTTGGTAGGCTGCCCTCTAAAGCAATTTTACATTTGCAAAATTCAGATAAAATAGAGATGACTGTATGCTTTATAAGGATGGAGTTTTGTTTTTGTTTTTTTTAAACCATGCTTCTCAAATGAATGAAGCAGTTGTTGACAAATGAATCTTGGAGGGTAGGAGCAGGGTTGAGGAATAACATAAGGAACAATTTTAAAACCATCCGAAATGAGGGTGCCAGGGTGGCTGGGTCAGTTTAGTGTCTGGCTTTGGTTTAGGTCATAATCCCAAGGTCCTGGGATGGAAACCCTCAGAGGGCTCCCTGCTCCACAGGGAGTCTGCTTCTCCTTTTTGCCTTTCCTCCCACTCATTGTCTCAATCTCTCTCTCTCAAATAAATGAATAAAAATCTGTAAAAAAAAAAAAAAATCCAAAATGAGTATAACACAGCTCTGAAAATCACAATGTGATTTCAAGAGTATTTGTAGTGCACAAAGGAAGTGATACCAATTCTGAGCTCCAGCTTTCCTATCTGGCAAAGGCTTTATCTTGCTGAGATAACATCTGGTGTGGTGAATGGTCAGCCCC